CACCCATATTTTTTCATGCCTTTAGATTCATGATTACATATTTGCAACTTTACGTTGCTTTTCATTTCCCTTTTCTTTCTTTTCTGGAACCAATGATCAAACCCAGGGCCTCACACATGTGAGGCAGGCACTCTACCAGTGTAATGCACCCTAGTCCTCATAGCCATTTATTTCTACTAATGTTCACTTTCCCATTCAGAATATCCCCAGTGGAGAAGGAATCAGAGTGAGAGGGCCGGAGGGGCCGCAAAGGCTGCCTTTTTCCCTTTATAACCTGTTGTGCCTGCACTGTACTGACTTCGCTAATCTGACAAAATTTCACATGGGGGTGAAGGCATAGGACTCAACTATGGTGTGTTTCTGTCTTATTTGTTTCTTTTTTTGGGAGGGAGGGTCATACCCAGTGTTACTCCTGGCTCATGCACTCAGGATTTACTCCTGGTGGTGCTCGGGGGACCATATGGGAAGCTGGGAATCGAACCCAGGCTGGTTGCGCACAAGGAAAATGCCCTACCCCTGCGCTATTGCTCCAGCCCCTTATTTGTTTCTTTATCTCCTAGGAATGTCTTGGTCATGAAAGACCCAGGCAGAATTATGGTTTAGAAAAATATCAGCTGCATGAAACATACCCTCTCAGAGGAATGGTATGTTATACTCAAGCCGTCTTTTTAGGAACTTAGTAGCTGGCTCCCATCTTGCACTTTGAAAATGATGGAGTCACAGTACTCAGTAGCTATATGGTATAAAAGAATCAGCTATTTATTATCATTGTCTCTGTGTCAAAATCCATGCATATTTGCATTGTGAGTGAAAAGAATTATAGATCCAACTGTTGGATTTTCTTACACCTTTTTTTTAACGTTTCATATTATTTATTCTTTTTATAAAGTTGCTTATGATGATTTGTTGCATTCAATCCCACCAACCACTGCACCTTCCCACCATCATTATATCCAATTTTCCCACCCACCAATCAAGTCTGCCCCAATAGCAGGCTCTAAATAGTTTATTTTATATTGCTTGTTATGAAGAATTTGTTAAAAATTGTCAAAAAAGATTTCCTTAGAAGAATGTGTGTGAATATTATTGTATCTCACCATGGAGTCATCTGCCGTTGTACAAGAGATTGCTAACATGTTGTTACAGGTTAAGCCTTGTGTGTTCATATTTACTAGAGCCTCTTTTAAAAAATAAACTAACAAAAAAACCTCCCACCACACCCCTTACCTCCCCCAACTAGGGCCATGGGGATAGTATAGCGGTAAATTCCTTACCCTTCACATGGCCAACCAGAGTTTAATCCCTCACCCCACTTATGGTCCCCTGAGTCTAGATACCCCAAAACAAAAATAGAGCCCCAAATTTAAAAAACTCTGGAAGTCATTGCATCCTGTCCCGTGTGCAGCCGAACTTTCTAAGATGGAGAAGCTTTTGGGTTGGAGCTGAGAGGGAAATGAGATGGTTGAGACAGGTCCTCAGGGGGCCCTAGATCAATTCTACTTTTTTTTTTTTTGGTGGTTCTGGGGATTGAGCCCAGCATCTCATACAAACAAGACAAGTGCACTACCACTGAGAAAAATTCCTAGTCCCCATTTAGAAGCAGTGATCAACTGGAAGGGACGGCAATGACTGCTTCTGTAAGCTTTTGAATTGCAGTATTCTTCTGAATCACTGACATGCAGAATTCATGGCACCATGAAGCCAGACTCTGGTCACTTTTTAAAATTATTATTGCCATTATTATTTTGCCTTTTGGGTCACACCTGGTAACGCACAGGGGTTACTCCTGGTTCTGCACTGAGGAATTACTCCTGGTGGTGCTCAGGAGACCATATGGAATTCTGGGAATTGAACCTGGGTCGGCTGCGTGCAAGGCAAATGCCCTACTTGTTGTGCTACCGCTCCAGCCCCTTTATTATTATCATTATTATTATTTTTTAAATTTTATTTTCTTCTTATAAAGTTTTTCACAATAGGGACTGGAAAGTGTGTGAAGACGGTTGTATTTCATCCTGGAGCCATTTAAGCCCTTGTATAAGAGATTACAAGCATGTATTTTAAACCCAGACGAGTGTGTGCTACTTTTGACACATCAGTGGTCTAAAGTATAAGAGGTTGCCGTGTGCTTCAGGACATTTTGTGTCGCTATCCTCTGGGAGCTTTATTTCACAGTCACTGGATCGTGTCCATTGATGAGATTATATGCACCAGAGGCAGTTTGTGGGTGTGACTGCCAAGCTACTTGAAAACTAGGGAGCTGGGGGAGGGAGGACTAGTCCCGTTCCTAGTGTGCTTGGAGATCTCAGTCACAGATCCCACATACCTGGGTTTTTCTGCAGGTTCATCAAAGGTGAGGCTTGTCTGAGCCTGTGGAGAGTGCCTTGAGCATGGTTGTGTGGTTCAGTTTTGGAGGTTTTCGGCTGCCCGGGTTCTGCTGGGATGGGGAGGGAGATTCAGCCCGCCCCCTCTGAGTTGCCCCAGTAAAAGACAGCCTGGTGCGGGGTTAGGACGTTCTGTCACACTTTTATTATTGAAGAGAATCCCTGTCTTTCTGTCATAGTGAGGGGGACTCCTGCTGGTCACCTACCTGTGATGGTCCCATAATCTTCAGACTGAGTTCTCAGACCAGTGGGGAGGCCTGAAGGAAGTGAAGGGAATTGAATTTGTTTCTTTGGGTTTGTGGCCCATCCCCAGCTGTGCTCAGGACTTACTCCTGGTTCTGTGCTTAGGAATCAACCCTTCCGGGCAGTGCTTAGGGGTACATAAGTGCTCCCGGAAATTGATTCCAGGTTGGCCACAGTGAAAGTGTGAAAGTACCCCTGTACTGTTTCTTGAGTCCTGCAAATGGAATTTTAAGAGCAGACTAAGCCTTCTGTTTTTATTTATATCTAGTTTTGGGGTACATGTGGGCAGTACTCAGAACTTCCACCTGGCTCTGCGCTCAGGGATCTGACTTTTGTTGCCAGGGATCAATCCAGGCCATCTTTGTGCAAGGCAAGTGTCTTACCCTCAGGACTGTTTTGCCTCCTTCAAGTTTTACAGTGAGTTCTGACCTCTGTTCAATCTTCCAGTTGTTAAAAAGGAAAATAAAAGATTTATATACTGATTATTATTATTGCTTCAAGGTATCCAGTATCTCCCGAAACCTAGGGAATAATTAAGATATACCAGATGAAGGTTCGTTTTTAGAGGCAGATGCTGTGCATTTATGTATGTGGTGCTCATTATAAAATGAGGCCTCAACTTGAGTAGCCAGTCCGGCCACCCTTCACTTTGGTCACTGATAACAAAACCACCTCGTGAGACCTGATGGGCTGTGTTTTCTTTGCTGATGTTGCCACTTTTAAATTAGATGTTTCATGTGTACTATGTTTGCTCTTAGCTCTGATAAATGCATACATTCGTGTTAGCCTGCCTAAGGCATTTTTTCAGGGGGAAAAGGAGACAAATCATCTACTTTTCCAATTTCTGGGGAAAATTAGAAAAAAAAATTAAAGTCAAAACCCCAGGAGCCAGGGAAAAAGTACAGCAGCTAGGGTACTTGCTTTGCACGTGGCCAACCTGGATGCCATCCTGGCATCCCATATGGTCCCCTGAGCCCACCAGGAGTGGTTCCTGTGTGTAGAGTCAGGAGTAACCTCTGAGTACTGCCAAATGTGACCAAAAAGAAAAAAAAGAGCCAAAACCCTAAGCAAAGTAATAAAATACACATCTCAAGTTCACCAGACTTTTGTTTTTTTTTGTTTTCAAAGCTACTTCCTTCAGGCTTTGGAATGTATTATTTTACTGCTGATCAGTAACTTAAAAAACTAGGTTCCACATTAGCTCCCACTAGTGTGGATGCTGTGGTCTGGTTGGTGTTCACAAAGCAACTTGACCAGCTGGGAGTGTTGTTGGTAGAAGTGTTCATTCCTGTGTTACTAGCAGACCTTTTAATTTATTATTAGTATTTTTTATTTATTTATTTTTTTGGTTTTTGGGTCACATCCGGCGATGCACATGGGTTACTCCTGGCTCATGCACTCAGGAATTTCTCCTGGCACTGCTCAGGGGACCATATGTGATGCTGGGAATTGAACCCGGGTTGGCCATGTGCAAGGCAAACGCCCTACCCACTGTGCTATTGCTCCAACTCTTTAATTTATTATTTGAGTGTGTTTCAAACCCACTTAATAGATGTCACATGGTCTTTGAAAATGAATGCCTTGGCGGAAATCTGGAACTTGGGACTGTGGGAGCAGGTATTTATCCTCAGTGTCTGAGTGTTTTATTTGCTTACTTGGCTTCCCCCGTAGAAGTGATTCTGGAAAACTAAAAAATATTCAAGACTGTTCAGTGATCTGCATTCCTAACACCAAACAAAATGCAAGGTTAGCTGTTATTTTTAAATGAATTTTAAACAAACATGATATTTAGCCCGTCTTGGCTTTGGTGACAGTGAGCGGTGTCTGCAACTTTTTTTTTTTTACAGGTTTTTACATTCATGGAAAAAAATTAAGCAAATCATTATCCCTATTGAATTTCCAGAAGCCCATAAGCAACGGTTCTCTAATTGACTGGCCTAGTATGTTCTCCAGCTCGGCCTGCAAAGCAGTCGTTGAACGTGGATTCTCTCTCTCTTTCTCTCTCTCTCTCTCTACTCTCTTGTCTCTCTTCTCTCCTTCCTTCCTTCCTTCCTTCCTTCCTTCCTTCCTTCCTTCCTTCCTTCCTTCCTTCCCTCCCTCCCTCCCTCCCTCCCTCCCTCCCTCCCTTCCTTCCTTCCTAGTGCTCAGGGCTTTCTTCTGACTCTGCACTAAGTTCACTTCTGGTGGGGCTCAGGAGACCATTTGGGGTGCCAGGGATCAAAAGCTCCAACCTCACGTGATAAAATTTGGACCTTACTCCATATATCCTTTTAGAGAGTGAATGTTTCTGGTGGGAAAAAAAAGTTCCTTGTGAGTCCTTTCATGACGGAGCACGTGGTGAACTTCTGTAATGTTCTCTTCCCTCCCCGCCAACAGATGGGTCCGAGAGTTTTTGAATGAAGAAAACAAAGGCCTTGATGTGCTGGTGGAGTATCTGTCATTTGCACAGTATGCAGTAACGTAAGTAGAGATTGGCTTATTGTTTTCAAGTTTTATGTGGTCACAGAAGATGCAACTTGTGGTAAAATTATACACTGCTCTGAGGGAAGTAAGCCAGAAGCAGATGTGAGGTTAATACAGTTTGTTTTTGTATTAGAATAACTAAAAGAAAATCACATAATTAGTATTAGACATAGTTTTAAAGCAGAAATTAGAATGATGAGCAAAAAATTATCCTTAGTAATTTAAATAATACTAAACTGAGAGGAATCATTTTTATTATATTATCATATTATTTTATTATTACTTGTACTTAAGGTCACATCTGGAAAGGGATACTCTCGGCTCAATGCCTGGGTACTGAGGGACCATGAAGTGCCGGGAATTGATCAAGGGCTTCCCACATGCAAAGTGTATACGCATCCCATTGAGCTACCTCTCCAGTCTAGAAGTCCTTATTTTAAAGAACTTCTTAGGGATGGTGGGGAGAGAGAGAGCGAGAGAGAGAGAGAGAGAGAGAGAGAGAGAGAGAGAGAGAGAGAGAGAGAGAGAGAACAGGACTTAAGACAACTGTCTTAAATGCCACCAACCCCAGTTCAAATCCTCAGCATTGCCTATGGTATTGCCCCCGAGGACCAAGGTATGGTTGCCACTTGCTCCCTCCCTGATTAAATAAAAAGTTATTAAACACACAAGTTACATCTGTTCATATGGTAGATTATTCAAGTAGTTAATGAAAGTGGTTTCTGATATATTGTTAAGTTATTGAATGAATAAAACAAGATGCTGAAGGATGACTTCTATTTTGAAATTTAAGAATATATAATCAAGTAAATGCAGAGGGAACAAACTGCAGAAATAAATATCAACCATAATAGGAATGGAGGAAGAAGTAAAACATGAGATTTTCTCTTTTTATTTACACACACACACACGCAATAGATTTTTTTACTCTCCATAAGGAAAAGAGAAAAATAACTTGGGTAGTCCAGGAATAAATCAGCTTGTTTAACCTAGTTTTTGTTCATTCATAAAATGTCCTCATTTGCAAGGCCCTAGAAAGATTTGTAATAGGGATGAAAAATATGCATTGGGAGGAAACAGTTAGTTCCTTTATGTTTCCCCTTGAAAAAATGAAAAATTCCTGTTTTCCCAGATCTATGCTCACACACAAGGACTAAGGAAATTCTGTATTGTAAATATGACTTCAAGACTTGTCAGCCAAGTGGTGTTTTTCTCCCACCAACTCTTCTTTTAAAACAGTGACTTTTTTTTAAAATATATTGCCTCACTTCAGAAAAGTCTTAAGATCTGACCAGAAGTTATAATCTTCATTACTTCCTTGGGAATTTTTGAGGAGAAAGGTATAATTATTCCTACCTTGTGGTTATAGAAACTGAAGTATTAACTGAAACTCTCTGATGAGTTTCAGTTTGGATAACTCTTGTGTTATTTTCTTCTACGGAATTGAAAAAGAAAAATCACCTGCTTATCTTAGAGACTGTCCTTGAGATAAAATACTCTAGTTTTTATAGCATACTCTTCCAAAGGTTGTTTCTTATCTACCTCTATGGCATCTAACGCTGGAAGTCTCGTTTATATAACACATGAGATTATAATATGATTATGTTCTTATTTTTATATATTTGTAATTTGTATAATTCATAATGTACAAGTTAACAATACTATGTCACATATTTTAAAATCTGTGGGAATATTCACAGAATTAAGATGCAACTAAGAAACTTCAGGAATGAGAATATTAACAGAATTAAGTGGCTTAGAAACTTCAGGAACAATAACAAAGAGTGGCACTCTCTATGTGATATATTTGCTGCAAATATATCACATAGAGAGTGATATATGTCCTGAGTTCTATGGGTAAGAGTAGAGCCACTTTGAGGCAATAAGGATCAGGACTAAAAGCTTTGGTCCCCGGCCACCCCCCCCCCCCCCCATTGGATTTATAGTCTTAGTCTAACAAGGTTACTATGTTGTTTTGCTTTAGTTTGATGAAAAATTAAATAGCCACATGATTTATATTCTATCTCAGTAGTCCTGGTTGAAAAGATGTCTTACTATTCCGTGGCATTTGGCAATCTCTTATAGCCACTGTGAGGAAGAGCAAAAGTACATACCTCATTCCAGATATTCACCATGGTGTGTTTCCTTTCTCAGCTCTCTGATGAGCAAGGGATTATGTAGAGAGAAACATTATTACGCCTGTTGAACAGCTGAACAGTTTGGAGTTTGCAGCCTGAGCTGATGGGAATATTCATGACATGGTGATCTTGGGATGCTCCCAGCACCTTATACCTTTTCTAATCTCTATTATCAGTTTCCAATTTTGGTACTTTGGGATCTATTGCTACCTGAGTTCTTTATGTCTTGTTTTCTGCTCAGCATTAATCCCTACATTCGGAGCAGGGACAGAGTTATTGTGGACTTTAGCAATCACCTGGATGAGTAAATTCTTGGCGGAGAGTATCTGCCACTTAGTTTTCAGAAGACTCTTCCAATGAAATACCTTATTTTGACAGTTTTTAAGTTAGACTTTTTTTTCTGCTTTTTGGGTCACACCTGGCAATGCACAGGGGTTACTCCTGACTTAGCACTCAGGAATTACTCTTGGCAGTGCTCAGGGGACCATATGGGATACTGGGGACTGAACCCGTGCAGGGCAAATGCCCTACCCACTGTACTATTGCTCTAGCCCCTTAAGTCAGACTTTTCAATACCCAAAATATATTATGACTTTCTAGAGGAAATTAATGAACTGCTTTCTGTCTATCCTAATGTCTGATCAGGTGTCACTAGAACCGTGGGTAAAAACAATTGATAAAATGTTTTTTGTTGTTTATTTTACTTTATATTTTTGGTTTTTGGGTCATATCCAGTGATGCTCAAGAGTTACTCTAGACTCTGCACTCAGGAATTACTCCAGGTGGGACTGCGGGTGAGCTGTACTCAAGACAAACACCCAACTCACTATACTATCACTTGCATGCACAATTGACAAAATGTTTTATTGAGAAAGTGAAACTACTGAATTGGGTAGGGAGAAATCGTGGCATACAAAGTCTGTCTGTTTAAGAATTTTCTTCCTAAAATTACACAAGAATGAGCAACTGAACTGGCCATCTTTTCTAACATGGTTAACATGAGTAATAACCTCAAAAAATGTCAGAGAAACAACAATCCTACTTTAAAGAGCACCACATTGGGAAGAGATTCCAAAATCAAAGCAAATCCATAACTTTGCAAGTAATGTATCACATATGGTTGAAAAAGTATACTTTGCCAACACACTAGGAGAAAATGGGCAGTGAAAATTGACGGGTAGGAATAAATTAGTGTAAATCTAACGTACTGACTTGTTAAAGTAAAATAAAGACAGCTGTGAGATCTTTCCTCTTCCCCCAATCCACTATGATAATTTTTACAATTTGTAAGTCAGTGAGCCCTTTTATTAAAATACAAATAATTCATCACAGTTTGATTTCTAATTATTTTCTGACTTTTCTTTTTGCCCAGGGCATCAGTTATTATTCTGTATTTTCAAAGCTAACATTGTGTTCATGGACATTCTTTTTTGTACTGTCACTCTTTTGGTGGGAATCAGACCCAGCTATACTTGGGTGCCATCAGGACTACATGTGGCCATACTGGGGTGTTAAACAGTGCTAGGAATCCAACCTAGGGACTTGTACCTGCAAGGAGGTATGTGTTGTGTTGTCCCAAGCAGCCACATCCCCAGCCTGCTTGAGAATGCTTTCAGAATTCCTTTTCAGTTTTCTTTGTCTGTAAAGACTTCCCTTGTTCAGGTACAGATGTGTGATGGGGACCAGGGGAAAGCAAGTTAGGCACATCTCTGTGTTTATGTGAGCATGAGTTTGGAGGTCTTCAGTGCCATTTCTCTTGTGTTTCAGTTTCGACTTTGAGAGTGTGGAAAGCACTGCCGAGAGCTCTGTAGAAAAATCCAAGCCCTGGAGTAGATCCATTGAGGACCTGCACCGAGGGAACAACCTGCCCTCCCCAGTGGGCAATAGTGTTTCCCGCTCAGGAAGGCATTCTGCCCTGCGGTGAGTTCCTTCAGTGAGGGCGCTTGGCTGGGATGTGCTGGGATGGCCCAGCTCCTAGCTTCTGACGTTGGTCTTCTGCAGCTCACATCTTCCCACTCAGCTGCATTGCCAGTGAATCCAAGGACTCCATTCTTCGGGTCGTCCTCTATAATTTTTAATAGTTTCTAGGGTGTGGGGCGTGGCACACACACCTTATTCAGCGCAGGAAGAGAAAATTGAACCAACAAAGTAGTCATTTTCATAGGCTAGTAAGTTTCCCATATCAAGTAGATGACTGACAGGGTGATTTAGGCTCTGTTTCCTGGGTGAGCTTCCTGGAGAGATTTGAGAATCTAAGGAACTTACCGTGACTCTTACCTTCTTCCTCCACTCCCTTTCTCTAGCAGTAGCTTATGAGTGTGTTCTGTGAGGTGTGTACTTGGCCACGTAGTGATGCTTTCATTACAGATATACTTCTGTTTGTTTTGTTTTTTGGGGGGCCACACCCAGCAAAGCTCAGGGCTTACTCCTGGCTCTCAGCACTGGAGTTACTCCTGATGGTGCTTGGAAGACCTCCCCATGGGAAGCCGGGAATGGAACCGGGTCAGCCATGTGCAAATCAAGTGCCTTTGCCACTTAACTCTTGCTCACTCCTCTGTTGAGATGCCTTTATGCAGCGTTTCTTTGGTTAGATGTATCCAGTTATCTTTCATTTATTTCCTGTTAAGGATATAGTGTAACCTGAACAAAATATGAGGTTCAGGAAAGATAGGGTGCCCCCCTATGTCACTAATGAGTGTCATCACCTTCATTGTTCACTTACTAACTTGTACTACAATCATTCACTGAAAAGTACCCAGGTGTTTCTGTGGTTTGCCTTGCACTGCAATTCAAGTTGTTCTCGGTGGGTGGGTGTAGCCATGCCTACCTTTCATGATAGAGATTTCCAGAGTAAGTTGACCAAGCGCTCTGTGTTCCCAGAGGTAATAAGAATTTTTATTAATCAGACCCTGATTTCCAAATGTTGCTCCTATTTAAAAGAAAAAAACAGCTGTGTCTGCAGAATTCTCTTAACACCTTGGTGCTTGAATGGAAATGCTTGCCAGTATTGTCATATAATTGTTGACAAGGAATTTAATTGGCAAAGTACATAGCAATTTCTTTTTCATTATGTCTTCCTTGGAAGTATATATTGCCCAGCTACCATCTTAATAAGGATCCACTTGTCTGACTGATAATTTATTATGCATATTTTTGAATTATTAAAAAAATAATTAAAGACTCAAATGACGAGGTGAAGGGTGGATAAATCCCCTTGTCAAAGGGGGGCAGTTGTGATAAAGGATGGAATTTAATTTTTAGTGATGAGCTTAAAGTAATATATACTCCTTGCTTTTCAGTGAGAGAGACCAGAAACAATAATAATACAATGTTGTGTTACTGTAAAAAAATGAAAAAAAGCAAAAATAATTATTAATAGTGGGTCAATTTCCAGTCTCATTTTAAACAAATAAATGAAATGCTGAGAGAACCTGTGTTGTGGTTAGAATGGAAGTCAGGAGGACAATGGGGGAAATATCTTATCTGTGGAGAACTGTAACCTTGGACCCTGGAAAGCCCGGCACAGAACGTCAATGTCTAACTAAAGTTAGAAAACTGGACCAAGAGTATCGAGAGACATGAGTTAAATGTTATCCTGAGAACTGAGGAACTAACATTTCTGGTTGGCAGGTGTGTTTAAAGATGACTAACAAAGAAACCACCATCACATTTTTCTGTTTTTGTTGTTTGAACAGTTTCAAGCTCAGAAAGGGAAATTGGAATTTTCTTGGACTCTCCTGGGTTCTAGTAACTGCATGGCTTCAATGAAATCACCGTGGTAGTCATTTTCGTGCCACTAGTTAACCTGCGTTTTGCTCTTGTTTGGAAACAGTGTTTGTCGATGATATTCCTGCTCTGTGGTTATGGATCTGTGCCTGGATTCTCATTCTGTATTTGGTCATTTGATAGCATCAGTGACATAAAAACAGCAATCCGAGTACAGGCATCTGATCCATGTTGCTTTTCATATGCCCAAAGATTGTTCACATATTTTTTCTCTCTTCTTCCTCCTTTCTCTCTTCCCTCTCTGTGCTCCCTACCGTGCTTTCCCATTCCAACTTTCTTTTTATTATCTTGTTTTTTCATTCTGTCATCTCAATTTTGATTGTTGTCTCCTGTTCTGCCTTTGTCCTTCCTCCTCCTCCTGTCTCTTCTTCTTCTTCTGGCTCCATCATGTCTGACACGGCCATCAGATTGGTTTCTCTGCCTGAGTATCTTCAGTTCCAATGCCACCAGCCCTGCTTCTCTCCCTGTTGCCTCTGCAGCAGCTTCAGTTTACACACTGATGATGAGGCTTCAAACCGGACGACCTCGTACGTTACGGGTGAAAAAGACACCCACGAGAGCTTGTGGCGCATGGCAGCAGGGTATGGTGGCATGTTATAATATGATAACCTTGTGGCTTGGTGTTGTCACCCTGGACTAGGAGAAAGCACTTTGCCTTTGAAGCTTTAATATGCTCTATTATCATATATATATATATATATATATATATTCCTTATTTTCAGAACTTGCACCTTTATAGTGTATCAACCATGCAAGGGTAATTTTTATTTTTTAGTAATTATTTTGAAAGAGGAAAGTTATTAATTCATGGTCTGGAGAGATCATTTTGTTTTGTAGTAGTTTGTTTGATTAGAATATGTGAAACTAAATGCAGATTTTTCTTTCTTATCTTAACCCCCAGATTAATTAATCTTATCCTATATACCTTTTGAAAAAGAGGGTTGGTGACACTTAGAAGAAATGAGAATTTGAGAAATTTAGAAATACAAATGGGGCTGGATTAAAGAAAGATGGAACAGCGCATAGTTCTAAAATCCAAGGCTTATAAAAGTTTCTTTTGCAGTTGACACATGTTCTCTTTGTTCTTAAACCTTATATGAGAGCTTTCTATGACATGACACTCCTCTTGAAGTGTATCAGTGATCAAATTCTGTATTAACATACATTTGTCAGTTTGACAAGTGGCAAAAATCTTGATGTCAGTGCAGTGGCAGCCTGACAGCCTGGCCTGAGGTACTGTCAGTTAAGAAAGACTTTTGTTAATGTGGCTGCATCATGCAACTTATGTACAGTAGGCGTATGGAGATGGTTATGCTGTTCTTTCAGATGTAAGGGAAAGAAAGTTCAGATGTCCACGAACATCCCAATTCATGCCATTGGATTTATTTATATATATATTTTTTTCAATTTTATTTTATTTTTATAAAGTTGTTCACAATAATTTATTACATTCAATATTTCAACACCAGTCCCACCACCATTACACCTTCCTACCACCATTATTTCAAATTTTTTCACCACAATATAAGCCTGCCCCAAAAGCAATCCTAAATAATTTATTTTGTATTGCTTGTTATGAATATTCCACTAAAAATGATCCAAAAAATTTCCTTAGAGGAAAGTGTGTGAAGATTGTTGTATCTCACCCTGGAGCCATTAAGCCCTTGTATAAGAGATTACTAACATACAGGTTGAGCCTTGTGTGCTATTTGTTTTTTGTTTTTTGTTTTTTTTTTTATTGAGAACAGTTGCCTTCTACCTTACACCTCATCAAAATGCGGTGTGCTACTCTTGGTGTATCAGTGGAGTAGGGCATGAGTCACCATGAATGTGACCATGTGCTCCAAGAATTCTAAAATTTTAAATAGGGTGATAACAGGTCGAAGTGTCTTGGGAAGTGTCTGGAGGCATCTCTCTAGCTTGTATGCCATTGGGTTTAAATCAACTGTGTTTGCAGTGCTTAAGCACCTAGTCCAGCATTAGTGTGCGAAGTAAGATGGTCTGAATCTATCTTTCTTATCTTGCTCTTCTGTCTGATTACTCATGAATGACTCCTCAGTACATGTACCATATGATTTTATTTATTTATTTATTTATTTTGGGGTTTGGCAACCATGCCTGTTTGTGTTCAGGCCTTATTCTTGACTCTGTGATCAGGGATCACATCTGATGGTACACCAGGCACTACATTGCAATGCTGGGGATAGAGCCAGGTCAGCTCTGTGCAAAGGCGCAGAACTATGCTCTGGTTCCAGCCTTACTTCTGTTTTTTTTTTTTTTTTTACATGCTCAAGGACACTTTTTCACCATGAAATTTAAGATATGTATTGACTCTCCCACCCCAACACTGGCCTGTACTTTGCCTGAAAATAGATGAGAGGACCAATAACTGTAACAAATAAGCAATACAATTTCTGTCTGTGATGCAGCTGTGTTGTACCATTTTGAATAATCAGTGTATAAATTTGTTGCTTTCACTTTCACAAAAATAGTCATTCCATCCGTGATATGAGCTGAAAAATTTTTTCCATATCCTTGCTGCTTATAAACTGTGTTTGTTCATTGCAGCACTGTTTACAATAGCTAAAATATGGAAAAAACCTGAGTGCCCGAGAACAGATGACTGGTTAAAGAAACTTTGGTACATCTACACAATGGAGTACTATGTAGCAGTTAGAAAAAAATGAAGTCATGAAATTTACATACAAGTGGTACTACATGGAAAATATCATGCTAAGCGAAATGAGTCAGAAAGAGAGGGACAGACATAGAAAGATTGCATTCATCTGGGGAACATAAAGTAACAAAATAAGAGACTAACACCCAAGAACAGCTGTGATAAATACCAGGTTGTTCACTCCATGGCTTAGAGGCCAGCTGCACACTCTAGGGGCAAAGGCAGCTCAGAAAGAGAAGGGAGCACCAAATAGAGGGTGCTGGGAAGATCCGCCCAGGATGGGAAATGCCTGCTGAAAGTAGTCTATGGACCGAACATGATTGCCACCCAATGTCTCTTCTGCAGACCAGAGCACCCAAAAGGAGAGATAGAACAAAAGGGAGTGCCCTGCCACAGAGACAGGGTGGGATGGGGGATGGGGGGCTGGAGGGATGCTGGGACCCGTGGTGGTGGAGAA